AGGGAAGGCACAGGGCGGCCAGCCCTGGATGGTGTCCAGCCGGGCTGCAGCCCAGGTACCAGCCTGCTCCATCCCAGGCTTGCCCAGCCCTGGGGAGACCTGAGCCAGACTCTGCCCCCTCCTGCCCCCGTGGGAAGAAGAGGTTACTAGCCAGAAGGAGAACCTGGTTCAGACCTCTGAGTCCTGGGGGTATCTGTCAGACCAGCAGCCCTCACTTTAGTGTATGACTCCCCCCTGGTTCCCACCCTACGAGACTCCAGGGAAAGCTCTTCCCACTGAGAAACAGGAGGGAGGAGATCAAGGGCTAGGAGCAGTGAGTGACCTTTTTTTGCAAATGGAGGCATCCAACATTCCCCGCCGCCTGCACAGACCTGGAGGGATATGGAGGGTGGAAGGAGGTCCTGTAGGGTAAAATGAGGTGACATCAGGGCCACTCGGCAGGGCCAGTGACAGCCAAGCCCCCTGTACCTCACCTAGGGTAAGGAGAAGACACCTTCTGCCTAGAGGTGTGGACACTGGCTGAGTGTCCGGAGTCCCTGGTCACTTCCCAGTGCCCCCAGGCTGCCTGTCACACAGCTCTCCAGGCAAGGCCAGCTGTCTCCATCCTGGCTTCCTTGAAATGCCAGCACCAGAGACCCAGGCCTGTCTCCAGAATCTGGGGAACAAACTGAGCTGCCTCCCAGAGCAAACATGGCCCTTACCCCCAACATACTCTTGACACACACACCCCAGCCCCCCGAGAACAGCCAGGGCTCCCTCCTGCCCCCTTCCATCCTCTTGTTGGGTCTGATTTTCCTGTATTGGGCATCGTGACACTGGTCTTCTTTGCATAAACAAGAGCCCTGGGCCGGGGGAGGTGCAGTCTTGAGAAGTGGGGTTACCTCTGTTGTTCCCCTGGACCCGCAAGTGGTCTTCCTACTCCTCCAGCCGCTTTCCTCTGGGGTCCTGAGCTGGCTGGCTCGAAGGAAGCGGGCTGGCTATTTCTGTAGGGCCCATCACTATGGCATCAGCCAGGGAGGGGCTGGGCCCAATGGGGCGTTGGCCTCAGGCTCCCACAGCCTTCCCCGAAGGGAGGAAGGAGGAGCAGGGAGCGGCCCTGGGCCTGCTCCCCAGAGACGGTCACTGGGATTAGGGTATCGAGTTTCCCCGGCTTTCCAGGTGACTGCTGGTGGCGCCTATTGAATTCCGTGCCCGCCATCCGCTCCCTGGACTGCGTGGGTGGAGGTGATGGGGTGGGTGGAGGTGATGGGGCGGCCACTTGGGGTGGGGTGAAGCTCCCTGGGGGAAAGGACAGATGAAGGGAGGCAGCCTGAGGGTGGAGGAGGTCCTGGGAGAAGGGTGTGGGGTCAGCTCTCCCGGCAGGGTCTTTTCTGGAAAGCCAGCCAGCATTGTGTGAAAGTGAGAGTCTCCAGCCTGTCCAACCCTGGGTCACCCTGGCCCAGCTGCGCTGCCCATCGGCTGCGTGGCCTCATGTTCCCTCCTGTCAATTCTGGCTCTCTGCCAGTCTCCTCTCTGAGCAGATCCTGATTTTGTCTTGAACTTGGGTCTCCCGGGCTGTCGTCGTCACTGGAGATCCACTTTGCCCTCTGGAACTCACTGGGGCTATGTTCCTTTTTAGGTTCCTCCTCCCACCATGCTTTGGGCCCCTCTGTAGCTGGCTCCTCCTAAGCTCCTGGGGGCCACACACCAAGCCCAGCATGCCTGGACGTCACTCCCATTTGCCCCCTTCCCCAGAACCCAACCCTGCCCCAGCTTGAGGGTGAGGGTCCAAGAGCAATGGTGGCTGAGCTCGGCCAAGTACCCCACACCTCCCCATCTTCTCTCAGTGCTGGGCCTGGAGACCACAGGCCAGGCCCCACGGATCCCCAGGGGGGCTGCCCCAAGGGACTCCCCCTGCCAGCCCCAGCCTCCACCCAGGCTGGGATGGGCTGGCTTGATGGGCTGACTCAGCAGCTGGCACTGACACCTCCTGGAGACAGCTGGGAGGCTCCTGCTGGGGGAGGGGTGAGGAGGAACAAGGCTGGTCTCCCTTGGAGAGTGGGAACCCCCTTCCCGTGTGAGGGGAGGCAGTCTCTAGGGACTTGGGGAGGAGGCTCTACAGGTGCGTTGGAGCTATTTAAATGCCGGTGGGGCCTACCTGGGGCTTCCCATCTCCTTGTCCAGCCACCCCCTCAGGTCCTAGAGCCACCACAGAGCCACGTCTAGACAGAACAGTGGAGCAGTCCCAGTGCAGAGGAAGGGAACAGAGGGCACCTGAGCCCCTCAGTCTGGGTCCCCCGTTTCCCCTTGAACTGCATGACTTGGTGCTGGCAGAGCGGAGCAAGGCTCAAAGGAGGCCCTGGAGCTTTGGCACCATATGTCACTAGGCAAGGGGCACTGGGGTGAAGATCAGTGAGAGAAGCCCACAGCACAGAGACCAGGGCCAGAGGACGGGCATCCCAAAGGCAGCGAGCACAGCCCTGCCCTGCCAGCCGGGGGAGCGCCCAGAGCCACCTGCCCCCACTCCAGCCATGCCCCTGTCCCATCACCCACACGCCAGGCTTCATCCCCCAGCTCAGGCCGTAGCTCCAGCTACGAGAGGCCCTGAGCACCTGGAAGGAAGGCTGTGGTTTCTTCAGCTCCCAGCCCACCTCCAGCAGAGGCTGCAGCCTATGCCCTGGAGAGAGCTGCTGTCTGCCCGCCACTGCCTGACTCCTGTTGGGACCTCACCTCCCAGTGGATTGCCCCATTCTGGACTTGGATCCTTAAGGAGCACGCTGCAGTGTGGTGGAAGGAGGACAGGTTCCAAGTCAGAGACCAGGGTTGGAGTTCTGGCTGTGTGATGTCAGGCCGTGGGCTCAACATCTCTGAGCCTCAGTTTCCCCGTCTCAAAAACAGCTGACAAGCCCCAGCCAGGTTATGGGAAGGTTTTTGGGAGCGCAGGGACTGTGGAGAGAGGTTGGAGGAGGTCACTAGAGCTGCCCCCTGCCTGTCCTGAGATTTCACCCTCCCCACTTTCTCAGGGTGTCGGCCAGGTCCTGCAGCTCGGTCTGGCTGAAGCAGAAAGCTGCGCCTGTCCTGGTGACGGCAACTGGTCAGACTTGTTTCTACTCACCTAGGGCCTGGGGGAGGGCCTGGCTGGGAGCTTTGTGGAGGGATTAGCTCTAGGGGAGAAGAGCCTCACTTACTCCCGGAACAAGATCCCGTAGGGCTGTGGGAGTGCCGGGGGTGAGCCTGGGGCAGGTGACAGCTGAACAAGCGGGGAGTGGGCCCTGCAGTGAGGCAGGGGATGGGCCAGGGAGAACAAGGCGAGAGGCTTCATTCAGTGTTCCTAAGCCTTTGTGAGCCCCTCACTGTTTTACCACTCACTTAACCGTCTTTGTTGTTGGGGTGAGGGGCCCTCAAGCCTGGATTTGGGCATGAAACACAGGAAGAAAGACCTGCTCGAGCCTTTAAAGGAATGCAAAGTCATCCTCTAGCCACCCCCAGAGACCGAAAGGTTGGGGATTGAGTCTGCTGCAGATGGTGGCAGCCTCCCGGGGCTGGCAAGTTGGGACAGAGGCCCATACACCCTCCTGGGCACGCCTTCCCACTCCTCTCGGCCCTCTCCACTCCCAGCTGGGGATTTGGGTTTCAGAGCAGCCTGGCACACACACCCCCACCCCACCAGAATCTCACTCCCAGCTTCCTATGACTCTTCATTAGTATTCACAACAATGGGAAAGTCTGGGTGTGCACAGGGATTTTTTACAGTTAGAAAGTGTTTAAGGCAATGACCTCACTGGGCCTCAGCCACCCTGGGAGGCAGATGGCAGTCCGAATGATCCATAAATGACCTGCCCCAGGTCACACAGCTCCTAAACAGGGGAGCTGGAACCTGGCTCGGAGCCTTGACTATCCACTGCTCATTGCCTGATGTGCTGAGTGATAACGCAGGGCCAGCAGGTTGGACAGCAGCCAGTGGCTCTGCACCAGGCCTGGAGGAGGGGGAGAGGGACAGGGACTCAGGCGTAGTCCTTGGGCACAGGCTTCAGCCACCCACACCCATATTCCCTCCATCATACTGTGTGTCCAGGCCTGCAGCTTCTAAGCTGAGCTGCTTACTTTGGACCAAGCACGTTGGAAACCGTTTTCAGCTGAGTCCGAGCACTCAAAAGAAATCTGCGTGTGCCCTTTTAGTAGGTCACACCCTCCAGGCCACAGCCACACTGGGCTCCCTTTAGCCCAGCCCTGCTTTTCCCAGTCCAGTCCCCTCCCCATTCAGGCTCCTTGGTTTCTGGGGTCTCTGTGCTTCCGTTGCCACCTCTACCCTCAGGCAGCGGTGTAGGGGGAGGAGGTCCTGGAACGCCTGAGGATGGCCCCCTGTCTTATCCAGGTCCCTTGCTGTGCCGCACAATAGGTTTTTGGTTATCTGCTCCTTCTGGCTCCCTTTTGGCTGGGCCATTTGGCTTGGTGGGGGTGAGAGAGAGTTCGAGTATATGGAGGAAGGCTTTACTGTAAACACACGGGTCAGCTTTCAGTAAACACCTGCCTCTTCCTCCCCTGATGCAGAGAACAGGGTACAAAGGGGCTGGGGGTCCTCAGCCGTATGCCCCAGGTCCCCAGCCAGGCTGACAGGGGTGCCACACTCTGCCCCCTCTCCAGGAGGGCCAGACTGAGCCACCAATAGGGAGGGATAGGGGCCCGATCAACACCACATGCGATTCACCTTAGACTGTCAGAAGGGACAGGCATGTGAGAGCTAACCTGGTCCCACCCCTCATTTCCCAGAAGAGGAAACTGAGGTTTGGACAGAGCAGTGTTTTACCCACATCACCTAAGCAGGTTGCTGCGGTGCTGGGTATCCACACAAGTCTTTTGAGTCCTGGGCCAGAACCCTCTCAAATTGCTGTGTAGGGATCTACGCAAATTTGCGTCCTCCCAAACCTTCCTTGTTTGGGGAGATGGGGCCAGGCAGAGGACAGGGAAGGCAGAACCTAGGGCATTGTGGAATAGCCATGGACCCTCCCCTGTCTCCGCAGCGCAAGCTTCGGCCTCGGCTCTGTACCATGAAGAAGGGCCCCAGTGGCTATGGCTTCAACCTGCACAGTGACAAGTCCAAGCCAGGCCAGTTCATCCGGTCAGTGGACCCAGACTCCCCAGCTGAAGCTTCAGGTCTCCGGGCCCAGGATCGCATTGTGGAGGTGATGCTTCTTGCCCTCTTCCTATCTGACTGCCCCGCTCCCTGCAGATCAGCAGCACCTGGGGCAACCATCATACCTTCCTGGGCTTGATTAGCCCATGGGCATAGCCAGCCTGGAGCGGCTGGATGGATGGGTGGATGGGAGGGAGACAGGGAAGGGTGGTGATGGATAGATGGAAAGATAGATGAACTGACTGACGGATTCCTTTCTTACCTCTACTCTCCCCTGAACTCCTCCTTGCCAAGCAGATATACTGGGCAGCCTGTGATTCACCCATCGATCAGGCAGATGTCTGGGGACATCTCCAGAGCTTCCCTGCTGCCAGGCACACAGAGGCGGGTGGCAGTAACAAAACCCCTCTCCTGAGTTAGCCTTTTATTTTATATATATATATATATATATATATATATATATATATATTTTTTTTTTTTTTTTTTTTTTTTTTTTGAGACGGAGTCTCGCTTTGTTGCCCAGGCTGGGCTGGAGTGCAGTGGCACAATCTCAGCTCACTACAACCTCTGCCCCCCGGGTTCAAGCGATTCTCCTGCCTCAACCTCCTGAGTAGCTGGGATTACAGTTGGCCAGGCTGGTCTCAAACTCCTGACCTCAAGTGATCCTCCTGCCTCAGCCTCCCAAAGTGCTGGGATTCCAGGCGGGAGCCACCTCGCCCAGCCCCGAGTTAAGCTTTTAGACTCGCTCATTCGGTGCCCTGGCTCTGGTGTACGCTCCTGGGAGGTGAAACGTGAACCAAATGCTCAGGCAGGTCCCAGAATCACAGTCTTAGAACCTTAGAGCTAGAGATCAGCTCTCCCAAGACTTCTCATTTTACACGTGAGAAAACCAAGGTCCAGAGAGGGAAGTCGGACAGCAAGTCCTTACCCAGGCTGGGCCCCACCCCGGCCTCCCAGCTCGCTCCCATCCCATCTCTCCCAGCTGTGTTTGTTTAGTCTCGTCTGGATATTTTCGTTGGCCCTTCCCATGTATCCTGCCTCCCCAGCTGACTGTCCACGGGAGGACCCCTGGCCTAGTTCAGGACTCTGCAGAAATGGGGGTCAGTATCCCCAAGTTGTGAACTGCAAACTGGCTGAGAACCAAGGTGGCCGCCCCCACCCCCAGCCCTCCTCCACCTACCTGCCCCAGAACCAAGGCCTGTGCCCGTAACGCCTCCCCAACCCCGCCCTGCAGGTGAACGGGGTCTGCATGGAGGGGAAGCAGCATGGGGACGTGGTGTCCGCCATCAGGGCTGGCGGGGACGAGACCAAGCTGCTTGTGGTGGACAGGGAAACTGACGAGTTCTTCAAGAAATGCAAAGTGACCCCATCTCAGGAGCACCTGAATGGTAAGCCGGGTGGGGCCGCTGGCCGTCCTGGGGCTGGAGGCCCCCAAGTCAGGAATGTGAGCCAGGGCTAAGACTTTGCTGGGTCCCAGGCGAGGGGTGGGCAGCTTTCCGGCGTGGGTGCTCCCTCCTTCTCCTTCATGGGAGGCCCAGAGGTGTGGGCTGGGGGAGTGGGGGCCTAGTGTAGGGAGTGGCAGTGGGTTTCCGAGGACGGCTTGTGATGGGGTCAGCTGGCATGAGGTCGCTGAGAGAAATGGACAGATCTTCTGACTCCCGGCCAAAGCTGCAGCCCCAAAGGAGGCCTGAGCCCCCAGTCCTGTCCCCACCAGCAAACTTTCAGGGCAGTGTCGACGTGAGGAAAGGGTTAACTCCGGGGAGGCCTCCAGCCTTTGCTTGGTCAGATCAGAGTCCAGTGGCAGGGCCCAGTGCCTCCCCTCCCTCCGCTCAGGTTGTCTTGGAAACTCAGCCTTGCTGGCTCTAGAGAGTAGTGGGTCCTCCTTCAAGCCCTGGGCCCCTGCCCTCCCCATCCCCCAGCATCACCCTGCCAAGCCTGGCGCCTCCCCCTGCCCAGGCCCGAGCCAAACAGGGCAGGGCTGCTGCATGGGGCAGGGAGGGGTTAAGCAGTGCTCTGCTCCTTGGTCTGGACTTTCTCCCTGGGAAGATGGCTCCCTGGAGCGGGCAGGGGTGCTCACTGGGCCATACTGAGGGTGGAACCTCTTGGGACTTTGCAGTGGGTGGGGCCTCCTGGAGACTCAAGGTTGTATGTGTAAAAGGGGATTCACACAAAGGTCTTGCTGCAGACTCCCATCCCCAGTTGGAAGGGACAACTGGGGAGGCCCTGTCCCCTTCTGGCGCAATCCAAGGCCTGGAGGCTCCTAGAAAAGAGGATGGCCCCTGGAAGTCCCTAGCTGGCTCTGGGCATGGGAGATGGGGTACCACCTTACCCTTATCTCCCAAGTTCATGGAAACCAGGTAACTCAGATAATCCCCTTCTCCACTGATGGGGAGACTAAGGCCCAGAGAAGCCCCAGCCTTCCTCCTAGGGATCTGATATGAGGAAGACACAGCTGGAATCTGGATTCCACTCAGCTCCTGGGATAGTCCCCTGCTTCCCCCACCCCTTCGCCCTGCAGGTAATTGGCTCCCTCAGACATTCCTGCCTCTTCTGCCTGTCTCTCGGGCTAGAGGGGCTGCAGCCTCTGGCCAAAGGACCTGAAGAGGGAGAGGCCTGGGGACAGTCTCCTCCCCGGAGTCCCTCCAGGATGGCATCCTCACTCTTTCCATAGAGAGGAATGCCCCCCTGTCCGGCAGCCAGGGTTTCACTCTGACCACTGTGAGCTGATGGGGAGGGGACAGTGAGTGTCCCTGGTGTCCCAGCAAGGCTGTGGGTGTCAGAGGGGAGGAGAAGATGAGAGTCAGGTATCTCTGGCTGTGTCCTGGACTGGGGACAGGGAAAAGATGACCAGGAATTTTAAGCTAAGAGTTCAGAAGAAGCCTGCCTACGCTGACCAGTCCCTGGAGATGGCACAGCCACCCCTGAAGCCATGTGGGACCCCTACCCTGAGTGAGCCCAGTGAAGGTGACCCCAGACCTGTCTTCTCTCCCTCTGACCCCTCCAGGTTTCCCACTGGCTTGGGGAGGGGATACCCAGGACACACCCCTTGAGCCTTCTTGTCCCCCCTCATTTCCTGATTGGCAAATAGGAGTTGGAATTATTTTCTCTTTTTTTTTTCTTTTGTTTGGAGACAGAGTCTTGCTCTGTCACCCAGGCTGGAGTGCGGTGGTGCAATCTCAGCTGACTGCAACGTCTGCCTCCTAGGTTCAAGTCATTCTCCTGCCTCAGTCTCCTGAGTAGCTGGGACTACAGGCACGCGGCACCATGCCCAGCAAATTTTTATATTTTTAGTAGAGATGGGGTTTCACTATATGGCCAGGATGGTCTCGATTTCTTGACCTTGCGATCCACCCACCTCGGCCTCCCAAAGTGCTGGGATTATAGGTGTGAGCCACTTTGCCTGGCCTTTTTTTTTTTTTCTTCTTTCAGACACAGTCTCACTCCGTCGCCCAGGCTAGATTGCGGTGGCACGATCTCGGCTCACTGCAACCTCCGCCTACTGGGTTCAAGCAATTCTCCTGCCTCAACCTCCTGAGTAGCTGGGATTACAGGCGCACGCCACCACACCCGGCTAATTTTTGTATTGTTAGTAGGGATAGGGTTTCACCATGTTGGCCAAGCTGGTCTCGAACTCCTGACTTCAGGTGATCCACCTGCCTCGGCCTCCCAAAGTGCTGGGATGACAGGCATGAGCCACCGAGCCCGGACTATTTTCTCTTTCAGTTGAGGCAGATACTAACTGTAGTCTGGGGTGTGGTTCCAATTTCGGTGTCATCATCATCACCTGGGAAGTGTTTGGAAAATGCTGATTCCTAGGCCTGCCCACTAAACCAGAATCTGTGCTGCCAAGGTCCAGGAATCTATACTTTAACAAGCTTCCCATGTAGGAGTTCCCAGATAGGAATTAGGCAGCCATCCTGTAATTTCATCTCCATCTGGGACGATGCATTTTTTAAACACCTTGTGACCCACCAGTGCCTCATAAGATCATTTTGGTAGATAGAGACCAGCAGGGTTTGTTTGTTTGTTTGTTTGTTTGTTTTGCCGGAGTCTTGCTATGTTGCCCAGGTTGGAGTGTAGTGGCACGATCTTGGTTCACTGCAACCTCCACCTTCTGGGTTCAAACGATTCTCCTGCTTCAGCCTCCCAAGTAGCTAGGATTACAGGCGTGTGCCACCATGCCCAGCTAATTTTCTTTTTGTCTTTTTTAGTAGAGACAGGGTTTCACCATGTTGGCCAGGCTGGTCTCGAACTCCTGACCTCAAGTGATCCAGCTGCCTCGGCCTCCCAAATTGCTGGTGTGAGCAACTACACCTGGCCCAGAAACTTTTTTGGTTTTTTTAATGACATGAAATTAAAAATATCAAAGAACACTGTAGTAAGGGTATTGCTTTGTGAAACTTTTGTTACACAAAATTTTTGTGTGTGCTGAGTCATCAAAATGCAAACATAGGCCAGACATTTGCTCACACCTGTAATCTCAATACTTCGGGAGGCCGAGGTGAGAGGATTGCTTGAGGCTAGGAGTTTGAGACCAGCCTGCACAACATGGCAAGGCCCCATCTCTATAAAAAAATTTTTTTTAATAAATAACAAGGCAAATGTACTCATGGTGGGTGGACATCAGAAAAGTTTGAGATGTTGACCCAGGGAACAAGATCTAATGATCTGCCCAACCCCAACTCCCGCCTCCTCTCCACGCTCTATTCCATCCCCATTCCGGACTCACCTCTGCTCTCTCCTTCGCCTAGGTCCCCTGCCTGAGCCCTTCACCAATGGCGAGATACAGAAGGTAAGGGCGGGTCCCCTGTTTCTCTGGATTTCAATCCTGGGGGTGCGGGAGACAGGTCAGAAGGTGCTATGGTTGGTGGGATAGCCATCTGGCTAAGGCCAAAACCTCAGGGTCCCCAGTTCCAGCTCCTTCTTTGGCTCCAAGCTATAGAACTGCCAGAACCCTCTTGGCCTCTGCCTGGGGCCAAAGCTGTTGGGAGGGAGAGGGCTGGCTGGGCCCCTCTGCAGCCCGCCATCCTGGGTGACAAGCCCCCGCCTCCAACTCCCCACCATACAGAAGGGGCCATTCTTCCCCCCAAGAACAGAGCTTCAGTGTCTGGCCACGGGCAGCCGGGCCCCTGCTACTTCCAGTCTGGGTTGGAAGAACAAAGCCCCTCCTCCCCCCTTCCCTGGGCAGAAGGGAAAGGGGGTGAGGCTGGGGAAGAGATGGTGGGGCTGGGCGCCAGCTGAAGCCATGGAAGAACCCAGGAAGGGGCTAGGTGCCAAGCTGATGCCCCAGCCAAAGCCTTCACTCTGGGACAGGCCGACTCAGTCAGGCCACAGAGTAGGAACTTTCTGCAGGGTCTGCTCAAAGGTTCCCCTTCCCTAGGAGCTCCTGCCAGGGTACTTGACAAGGGGGAGGGTCCTTGGACCCAGGCCTAAACCTTCTGTCACCTCATCTTTGGATCTAGAACATTCCATCTACTTTCTTCCTTCAAGGCCCTCCTTTGCTGCTTCAGGGTTAGGGTTTCAGGATTCCTGGGGTCAAATCCAGGCAAACAGTCAGGTGGACCACAGGAGATTCAGGGAGCACCACATGGGTTCCCCATGCCAAGCAAAGAGGCCTCCAGTGTCCCCACATTCCAAGAAGCCCCTCCCTGGTCACTGGCTCAAAAGGCAAGTCAGTATCTAAAAGCCACATTGGAGCAGCCCAGGGGGAGGGAGCGCTAATCCCATGATATCTGTACCCCTCCCATCCCTCCAGCCTGAGCAGAACCAGCCTGCCCTCTGATCCTCGAAGGAATGTAAAAAGGAGCCCCAGCAGGCTCAGGCGGTGGGAACCCGGGGTGGGTGGCCAGGGCATCAGCGCTACCTCTTCTCAGTCTGGGGCCCCTACTTCCCCAGGAGCTCCCTCCTGCCTCAGGACTCCCTCACCCCATCCTGTGACAACCCACACCCCTCTTCTCTCTGCCAGGAGAACAGTCGTGAAGCCTTGGCAGAGGCAGCCTCAGAGAGCCCCAGGCCAACCCTGGTGAGATCCGCCTCCAGTGACACCAGCGAGGAGGTAGGCCAGCCATGCAGGGGGTAGCAACTGGGTTACAGGAAGCCGATTCCCAGGCCCCACTTGTTCCTGGCACACCAGCCTGCCTTTGAGGTCACATGCTGAGCCGCATTCTGTTCTTGTGACCTGGCTTCCCTGGGCACAGCCCCAAGGGAGCCACCTCACTGAGGCTGAGGACCAGGGAGCCTAATGAGGGACTGACTCCCAACTTCCTGCCCCCATTTCTCTTTACAGCTGAATTCCCAAGACAGCCCCCCAAAACAGGACTCCACAGCGCCCTCGTCTACCTCCTCCTCCGACCCCATCCTGGACTTCAACATCTCCCTGGCCATGGCCAAAGAGAGGGCCCACCAGAAGCGCAGCAGCAAACGGGCCCCGCAGATGGACTGGAGCAAGAAAAACGAACTCTTCAGCAACCTCTGAGCGCCCTGCTGCCAGCCACCCGGTGACTGGCAGGGCCGAGCCAGCCTTCCACCCCACCTTTTTCCTTCTCCCCAGTTACTCCCCTGAATCAACGTACAAATCAGCACTCACATGCCCTTTCTTGACAAATGATTTTTCTAGAGAACTATGTTCTTCCCTTACCTTAGGGAAGGTGAATGTGTTCCCGTCATCCTGCAATTAGAAAGGAGACTCTGCCTCCCTCCTCCTCACTGAGTGCCTCATCCTACCAGGTGTCCCTTTGCCACTCTGCCTGGGATATCGCTGGGACCTGCACCATGCCAGGATCGTGGGACCAGGCGAGAGGGCACCTTTCCTTCCTCCCCCGTGTGATAACTGGGTCCAGGGCTGATCATTGACTGCAGAACTGCCACTCTCAGTGGACAGGGCATCCGTTATCCTGAGAGCTGTGGCAGACACATCTTGCTTTCATTTGATTTTTGTTGTTAAGAGTGCAGTATTGCAGAGTCTAGAGGAATTTTTGTTTCCTTGATTAACATGATTTTCCTGGTTGTTGCATCCAGGGCATGGCAGTGGCCTCAGCCTTAAACTTTTGTTCCTACTCCCACCCTCAGAGAACTGGGCAGCACGGGGAGGGTTTGGCTACCCCTGCCCATCCCTGAGCCAGGTACCACCATTGTAAGGAAACACTTCAGAAATTCAGCTGGTTCCTCCAAACCCTCCAGCCTCTGTGTCTTCCTTGGGAGTTTTGTCCTCTGGCCTTGGACCCCTTATAGGTAGAAAGTGAGAAATGGTAAGCCAGGGTGGTCTTTGGCTGGGAGGGTGGTGTACACTGGAGGGAGGGCCATCTAGGGCTCTGTGTGACCCCAAGCCTGAGTAGCTTTAGCTAGAGGGCCTAGCTGCGGAAGTCCTGTGGGAAGGAGGATGCATGTACCCAGCCGGGTGTTGAGCGTGCCTGTGTCCCAGGCTGTAAGCACTGATGTGGGCTAGGGACCCCTTGACTAATAGGGACATTTACCAGAGGAAGTGGGAGCTCAGACATGCTCAGAGGACTCTGGGAGGTTCCTGTAATTCCAGAAGCGTGGAAAGTGTGTCCCAGGATGGAGCTGGGTTTGGAATGTAAGGACTTGGCTTTACTCTTTCTGCCTACAGCCAGTGGGTGCAGGATTCCCAGGGGCAGGCTGGGCTGGTGCCAGATCCTCTATCTTATCTGGCCATTGTGACCTGATTGGAGGGCAAGTGTCCAGTGCCAGGGGAAAACAAACCGGTCCACTGAGCCCTGGGACATGCTGTGTGGCTAGGTGGGGTGGAAGGGACTTTTCAAGGGCGAAATGCCCTATCCCCAACAAAAGACCCAGGTCCCTGATACCTTTGGCACCTGAAGCCTGATGTGGAGGTCTGGGAAGGTGGCCTGCAAGAGCTAGGCTGCAGGGCGGAGAAGTTCCAGGCAGGTGCTCAGAAGGAAGGTGCCCCCAGGCTAGTCTCCACCCAACCCAAAGGACACTTCTCAGAAGACAGGCTCTGGGCAGAGGGGAGTGAGTAAAGCAGGAAGATCTGGAATCAGGGAGTGGGCCGTGTCCGCAGACCAGTCACTATCTGGCCATCTGTTCCTTGTTAGAGGAACCATCCAAAACCCTTATCACAACAGCACCCTGTTCAGCTGACCTGTCCCCACCCCACCCTTGCTTCTACCCTTTGACCCCTGACAGATTCCCCCTGACAGGGGTTGTGGAGGGGCCCCTCCCTACCTCATCTGCCAGATGGGGAAGCCCTGGGGGACCTTTGACTCTTCATTAACCTGAAGACTGGTGGAAGGAATGGGTGGCCTGGAGGGAACTCCCATTGCTGAGGTACACGTGGAACGAAGGGAGCCACAGCAAACAACACGTTCATTTTATGATGTTCGTTTTATACTGAGGCATGTTTTCAGTTTCAGTTTTTCACATGCAGTCTGGTGTGAGACTCCAGGATCAAGGGGGTTCGGAGGCCTTAGGCAAGTCACCTTACTTATTTAAGACTGTTTCCCCGCCTGGAAAATACCCTGCAAGCCTCCTGTGGTTGTGTTTTGAAAGCATGCCCGGCCTTTCTTGACAGCCACCCCAGATGATGGCAGGGCATGAAAGACTGTTAGGAGTCAGAGTGCCCCCTTCAGGTGGAGGGAGACTGGGCCAGCTCTACTTTGTAAGCCGTGGGTGCCAGGTAGCCCGGCCACCCTGAGCTTGTGCCTCCACTGCCCCCACGTGGCCAGTCAGGTGCAGCTGCTCCTAGAGGTGCAGGGTGAAGAGCAGATGTGAGAGCACCAGAAGGACATAGCTGATGGCCTGACGCTGTCTTCAGGAGGGCACCCCGAGGGGCCTCTGCTTCCTCAGTGTACCCTGAGCTTCATCAACAGAGGGGTGTTCTCCGGCCACAAGGAGCTGTATCCAACACTAATGCCTTTAAACTCAAGACTGGCTCCAGGAGACAGGAGGAGGGACGCTAGGTTGAGGGGCCAGGCCACACTCTCTCTGGACCACCTGCTGTTCCCGGGTCAAGCTCCCAGGGTCACAGCAGCCTGCTTCTGCAGGACAAGAGGACCAAGCTGCCCTTGAGTAGACACGGAGGCTGGGCCTCCTGGTAGCTCTTGATACAGACTAAATGGGAAAACTAGGAAAGCTGGCCATGCTTGGAGCTTCACTCCCAGCCAGGGCAGCACCTCTGGCCTCCAAGGAGAAAGGTCTCTCCACTCCCATCCATGCTCCAGGTACCCCTGCACCTCCAGCTCCCACCTTCATCCCAACATCTCCCATGGATTCCTGCCCTCCATGCCAGTTTCCTAGAGTCTGGGTCTGGCTTTGGCCAGGAGGGGAGAAGAGAACTGGCCCTGGCCCTGGAGTCTGCTCAGCCACACCGCCAGCTGGAGGGAGGCCACAGCAAGCCCCGCCACAGTCTGAAGGGCCCCGAAAGGTGATTCCCAGCCTGGGGCTGGGCCAGGAGCACTCTCCCAGTGCAGGGCTCTGGTCTTTGGAGTGCGTGGGCCCAACACCCTGCTCACAAAGGGTGGCTGCCCACAAGGCCCAGCCATCAGCAGGGCTCTGCCGACCCATCTCTGTAAGGCTTCTCTTCCACGTGGCTGGTCTGCTCCAGAAGCCACTGATGCTCGGACTCACTCACTGTCAGTCGGAGGGTCACTTCCTGAAAAACGCTGCTCGCAGCTACCTACGTGAGCCAGAGAGAACAAAGCCTGCTAAGTTACAGTATTAACACCACCAGGCCCACCGCCCAGGTCTAGGCCCCACTCCGCCCAAGGACATCCTTACCTGCTCAAAGTGAAGTTTCTGGAACATCCGGATGCTTGGTTCATTTTCTTGCCCAATTTTAGCCTCAAACTTGGTCAGACCCAGTGTGGTCATTCCTCGCAGATGAGAGAGGGGCAAGTAAGGAGGCGCCTATCCCCACCCCTCCTGTCCCAAGCTGCAGAGGAGGAACCTTCACCTGCCCCCAACCCTCAGACCTGAACAAGGTACACGTGGGGCCTGGCCACTTCCCGCATTGTCTGCTCACACTTTCTTACCATAAGACAGCATCGCGAGAACGGCCTCAGTGCCAAGGCCCTTACCCCTGCAGCTGGGCTCTAGGAGAAACAACAGGAGTGGCACTGATGCTATGTGCCAGGCTCCAGTGTGGGCACTTGACAGACACCATCTAATTCTCAACAACTCTGAAGTTGCTACTATCATTACCATTCTGCAGACGAGGAAACAAGCACAGAGAAGTGCGAAAGGCCTCACAGCTTGCAGCCCAGCAATTTGACTTCAAAGCTGACTCCTTTACCTCATGGAGTCAGTAGGCTGCCTCACGGGGATAGTCAGTAGCCACCTGGGGGAAACTGAGGACCAAGAAGGAGCAGAAACAGGAGGGCCTCCCCCTGTAATATGATAAGATGCTCCAGAGAAGACCATTTATTTTCTGAGGGTCCCCAAGCCCACCCCAAGTATGGGACTGACCATCCTTGAATCTACCCCATACCAAGGGTTAAGTTCACGCCTAAGTACAAGGAGTAAAGTGATGTGCCTGGGGGTGTACCACCAGGCTGAGGGGGGCTAGGTGGGCAGGCTGCCCAGCCAGGCCCTGGGCTCACCAACATGGAGCCTCCCAGTGAGCCCTGTGAGTGCCCACCCTATGCGGCCTCTGCAGGCTCAGGGTCAGCATATCTGACAGCCAAGAGTTGGGGGAAGGCAGGGCTAGGTGAAACAAACCTGCAATCATGACCTCGATCTCCCCCAAGGTGGGGTCTTCTAGATCTGTGAGGAAGAGGTTCACATCTCCCACCATGCAACTCTCTTCGGTGGCGCCTGGCTGGGCCTGCCACTTCTCGGCATCCAGCACAATGAAGGTACACTCTGAGGAGGAGGTGACAGGGCTATCACACACACTTCCCAGAGGAGAGAAGAGAGGATGGTATTCCTACCCAAACCAGAGCACTGCAGACCAGCATCTCTGAGTCTGCCAGGAGAAGAGGGGGTCCCAGAGCTTCCTTCAGCTCATTACAAAACTCCAAATCTGCCTCCTACAGAAAAAGCCTCTCCAACCAGCAACCAAATTCTAAGACAGCAGGGAAGACAGAGGAGCACGGTCACCACACTAGGCTGTGGTGAGGGATGTGAGGGGCAGGGTGGAAATTTACAGCCAGAGCCCCAGATGCTCTACTTTCTCTAAATCCTTCCAAGCCCAACGCAGTGCGTGGGGAAGAGGACAGAAGGGTCAGCCACAGGGACTGGCTTCAGGGGCATGAGAATACAGGAGTTCCAGCACCTTTCAGGCTTTTCACAAAACTTCTGTAGCCGGGACTGGGAAAGGGAGGGAACCTGGAGACTGACTGTGGATCAGCCCTCCCAGTACCAGGGCTAGGGGGAGTGGGGGGCACTCCTCACTGTCTGCATCTTCCCGCCAGCTGCGCTGCATGGCATACTCCTGCTCCAGGGTCAGCGGCTCTGAGGCTGTCAAACGCTGCAGCTCCTCTGATTTCATCCACTCGTGATACCTGCTGGGACAGAGGGGTGACCTTAGACACGGAGGACTCATTCAGAGGCATATGTCTGACACCTTATAATGTGAGGGTCCAGAACCCCACAGGACTAACATAGGGCTCAAAGAAGACCCAAAGGGTTATGACTGCTCCTAAGGCAGGGGCCACAGGCACAAGACCCAGAAGCAAGCTAGTCTTACACGAGAACAGCAGGAGGAGTCAGTTCTATCTGTCCAACTTCCTATCCTGTCTCGGATCAGTGCGGAGGAGCAGTCTGAAACCAAACATTCTTCAAATTCCAGAAGGGGAAGTATATGGCAAGCAGACCTCAACAAAGGCGGCTGGACAGATCCCCACAAAGTTAGGGCACCAGGAACCCTCAAACCGAACACTACAAGTAGAGAATACCCAGCTACAGCACCCCTATCCCAATCTACCAGCCATGTGCCAACTGCCCCCACAGGAATCCCATCAGGACTCAGTCCTGGCCTTTCGAATGGTAGATATCACAACTCATCAGCTCAGAGTTTAAGGACAAGCTAACATTAAGTCTCCAAGAACTGAACATAATCCCTGGCACCAGGGAAACATCACTAATTTATGATAAGGTGAAAAGACAATTTCTTTTTCTTACACATTTTAGTTTACATAAAGCAATTCCTTGCTGAAAGGCCAAAAAGAAAGCTGAGAGAAAGAAAGGGAAGAGGATGGGCAGCTCCTTCCAAGGAAGTCACAGTCCCCAGCTTCTGCTATTTTTTTTTTTTTTGAGACGGAGTTTCACTCTTGTTGCCCAGGGATCACAGGCATGTGCCACCACACCCAGCTAATGTTTTTGTATTTTTAGTAGAGACGGGGTTTCTCCATGTTGGTCAGGCTGGTCTCTTTTTTTTTTTTTTTTCTGAGATGGAGTCTCCATCACCCAGGCTGGAGTGCAGTGGCGCGATCTTGGCTCACTGCAAGCTCCGCCTCCTGGGTTCATGCCATTCTCCTGCCTCAGCCTCCCAAGTATTAGGGACTACAGGTGCCCGCCACCATGCCCAGCTAATTTTTTAATATTTTTAGTAGAGACGTGGTTTCACCGTATTAGCCAGGATGGTCTCAATCTCCTGACCTTGTGATCTGGCCACCTCAGCCTCTCGTGCTGGGATTACAGGCCTGAGCCACTGCGCCCAGCCTTTTTTCTTTTCTTTCTTTCTTTTTTTTTTTTTTTTGAGACAGAGTCTTGCTCTGTTATCCAGGCTGGAGTGCAGTGGTGTGATCTCGGCTCACCGCAACTTCCCCCTCCCCGGTACAAGCGATTCTCCTGCCTCACCCTCCCAAGCAGCTGGGATTACAGGTGCCTGCTACCAAGCCCAGCTAAGTTTTTTGAGTTTTCTTAAAGACAGGGTTTCATCATGTTGGCCAGGCTGATCTTGAACTCCTGACCTCGTGATCCAACTGCCTCAGCCTCCCAAAGTGCTGAGATTACAGGAGTGAGACACCCGGCCTTTTTTTTTTTTTTTTTTTTTGAGACGGAGTCTCGCTCTGTTGCCCAGACTGGAGTGCAGCAGTGTGATCTTGGCTCACTGCAACCTCCGACTCCCTGGTTCAAGCGATTTCTCCTGCCTCAGCCTCCCAAGTAGCTGGGATTACAGGTGCCTGCCACCAAGTCTTGCTAATTTTTTGTATTTTTAATAGAGACGGCGTTTCATCATGTTGACCAGGCTGGTCTCGAACTTCTGGCCTCATGATCCGCCCGCCTCAGCCTCCCAAAGTGCTGGGGTTACAGGTGCCAGCCACTGTGCCCGCTTTTTTTTTTTTTGAGACAGGTTCTTGCTCTGTCACTCAGGCTGGAGTACAGTGGTGCAATCACAGCTCACCGCAGTCTTCAGCTCCTAGGCTCAGGCAATCCTCCCACCTCAGCCTCCCTAGTAGCTGGGACTACAGCTGTGCACCACCATGCCTGACTAATTTTTATATTTTTTGTAGAGACGAGGTCTCGCTATGTTACCCAAGCTGGTCTCGAACTCCTGGGCTCAAGCGATCCTCCTGCCACAGCCTCCCAAAGTCCTGGGATTACAGGCGTGAGCCACGGCACCCAGCCTTTTTTTTCCCCCCTCATATGTAGTTATTTCTCACAACCAATGTTTCTTCTTAGGGGAAATAGCCCTGAGACTGGGGCTGTACCTTACATAGCTCTGGATGCTGCTACGCGCCCTATGTCAAGCAGGAAAGATACCTGGGCACATGCTCCGAGGTGTAGGGTACAAGTACCACCTTCTTCCCCAGCAGCATGGTGTTCTGATTCAACCTCATGGTAGCAGCCTGCATGCAGAGAGGGAGAGCAAAGACTTCAGGACCCTGAATTTCCTCCAACTTTGGGTGGGCGCTCCGGCGTTCCTGCTGGGGCTAAGTTGACTTACGTCATTCTTTCCTTCCAGACACTCCAGAGAATACAGACTCCAAAAATTCTTGCAAGAAAGAGAACCGGGCTGGTTAAGGATAATTAAACAATCTTTGACTTCCACCCCAGGGGGCCAAGCCTGGGCTCCGTTTCTGCCGGTTCCTTCCGTCCACTCCCCAGAACTTCGATTCCTCAAACCCAAGCACCAAGTACCAAGCCTTATCTCCAGAGCTCCCATTACTTGCCCCAGTCCAGGGATTCCAACCCAGAGTCAACTTTCAGCCCTGCCTTAAACCTGCTTCCAACCTCACCGTGGCGACCACCCCACGGGGCTCTGCCCACTCCCTCCTCCCCGCCCCCGACCACTTCAGGGTAAGGCGGGCTTAGTCTCAGGCCCTCCCCTTTAAGTGGCGTTCTAGACCACTCTCCTCGACCCTCCAACCACGCGGACCCGGGTACTGCCAAGCTCACACCCACCCACCACCGACGAAGTCGTCCACTGCAGAAGGGGTGATCCACCTCCTCCAACCAGCCACTCTCCCAGGCCCGACCGGCTGCCGCCCCTCCCGCATGCGCGTGACAGCGCGCCCCGCCCACTTCCGCCATGCTGACGGCAGCCGCCTTGCCCCAATCCCGGTCCCGCCCCCGCGAGACGCCCAATCAGCGCGCCCGAAGAAGGTGGGCTGCGGGGCGGGCGCATGCGCGCTGCGGACGCTGGTGCGGGACAGCTGGCGCCGGCAGCAGCCTACCGGCGGGAGGTGGTGGCTTCGGAGCTGGCTGTGCTGCAGGTGTCGGGTCGGGTCGGGTCGGGTCGGGACGGGCGAGAGAGGACTGGACGGGATGGGATAGGTTGGGGCGGGGCGGGGCTGCATCAGACTCGGGACTCCTCCAGGAGGCAGAGAGAGGGAGAGGCTGGGAGTGGGGCTCTTGAGAAAAGAGGGAGCTTTGAGGGTGGGGAACCCTAAGAGATTAGGTTGGGCCAGGGAGTGGAGGTCCCGTTAAGAAAAGAAGGCCTTAGGGCCTTGAGTGGGGTAGGAGGGGTAATGTAGGAAAGCCCCCAGCTCCCTGCCCTAGGCAGAGGCGGCAGACAGTTCCTTGGGCTCCCCTGTGTGGTAGCGAGCTCCTGGTTCCTGGAATTAAATGGGGATAACCACCCCAGAGCGTGGAAAGGGGGCTCTTATGGTGAGTGAGACTTAGTGGCTTTAGAGGCCCCTTCAATCACTTGCACTCCGAGCAGCATTGAAAACATCCGTGCTGGGCACAGAGCAGTGCCATGCACAGCAAGGGAAAAGTTAGAAGAAATCGTCCAGATTTCTGTCATCCGGGGTGACCCCTCCCTCGGGGTTGAGTCTTGTGACAGATACTGAGGCCCTAAGTGTCTGTGATAAAAGAACCAGAGGTGGTGGGGGAAGTCTACAAGCCTCCTCCCACCCCTATCTCAGTCCATCCGACAGGTGAACTCCGCTCTTTTGTTTTAAGGAGCTGCAGCAGCCGCCGCCCCTGCACCTAAGGAACCTCGGCTGCCAGCCCTTCCTCACTTTTGGAAATGGCGGGTGAAATTACAGAGACCGGGGAACTCTATTCTTCCTACGTAAGTGTGACTTATAGAACCTTTTGCTCACTGAAGTGTTCCTGGCTTCTAGAAAAGCACACTGCTTCCTGGGGATGGGACTAGTGAGTGCTGCTGCTTGAGCAAACAGTGGTGGAAGCAGGATGGGGGAGTTCCATGGGGCAGCGGCTACATGGCTACTCTGTGGCTCAGAATGTAAGTCAGATTTATTCTCTTTTTAAGGTGTTTGTCACAGTGGTCAAACCAAACAAAATCGCCGTGCTGTTTGTAATGTTAATTCTGGGCGAGGTGCGCGCGGTGGCTCACACCTGTAATCCCAGCACTTTTTGAGGCCCAGGTGGGCAGATGTCCTGAGGTCTGGAGTTCAAGACCAGCCTGGCCAACATGGTAAAACCCTGTCTCTACTAAAAATACAAAATTAGCCAGGCATAGTGGCATGTGCCTGTAATCCCAGCTACCAGCTACTCGGGAGGCTGAGGCAGGAGAATCACGTGAACTCGGGAGGCGGAGGTTGCAGTGAGCTGAGATCGAGCCATTGCACTCCAGCCTGGGCAAAAGGAGCGAAACTCCGTCTCAAAAATAAATAAATAATGTTCATCTCCAGGCTACCACTTGCCTGCAGTGCTGCCCTTCAGATGAACAGTGATTGACAGCTGTTGACTCTGGGTTTTGCTCATCTCAGTAGTTGGAAACCACTTTGATCTTTACTGAATTTTAAATTGCACAACTTTTATAGTCTTGGATGGCGTAAGAAGCAGCGAAAGCATACAAAGACTTCTAATTACAGTTTGGTGGACTCTGCAATTAGAACAGCTAGCATGATTGATTTCACTGTCTTAGGTCTGTGTTACCTCTCGCTGCCCCCAACACATACTCAATTTCTCTTCTCTATGTAACGTATAATTGGTCATAGTTGTTACATCACAGGGCCATCTTGTCTGGATAAGTAGCCAGAGGGTTGGAATAATCAGATGGTTGACTCAGGTTGTTACCAACTATCCCAGGCAAAAGCAGCACTGCCCTAAGTAGCAAGTCTTCTTTCTAGAACTTGACCTGCCTTCAACAGCTGCCCTGCCTTGTACATAGCTTCCTAGCCTGGGGATCCCTGGTCTTTTTCTGCTAGCTTCACAGACTAGCATTGTGGTGTGATGGACAAGGAAGTGTCTCCACAAGGAAGTGTCTTAGAGATACTTCCTTCACAGCTGGAAGAAAGCCTTCCTGATTCCAGAGTCTTCCTATTGGGCCTGTGCCATTCATGTGTGGCAGTAAAGGAACCTTCTTCACCCTTCACCTCTGTAATTTCTCAGGGGAAGTGTTTTTTTGTTTTGTTTTTTTGTTTTTTGTTTTTTGTTTTTGAGACAGAGTCTTGCTCTGTCGCCCAGGCTGGAGTGCAGTGGCGCGATCTCGGCTCACTGCAAGCTCCGCCTCCCGGGTTCACGCCATTCTCCTGCCTCAGCCTCCCGAGTAGCTGGGACTACAGGCACCGCCACCACGCCCGGCTAGTTTTTTTGTATTTTTAGTAGAGACGGGGTTTCACCGTGTTAGTCAGGATGGTCTCTATCTCCTGACCTCGTGATCCACCCGTTTCGGCCTCCCAAAGTGCTGGGATTACAGGCTTGAGCCACCGCGCCCGGCCTTTTTTTTTTTTTTTTAAAGACAGAGTTTCACTCTGGTTGCCCAGGCTAGAGTGCAATGGCGCAATCTCGGCTCACTGCCTCCGCCTCCTGGGTTCAAGCGATTCTCCTGCCCCAGCCTCTCAAGTAGCTGGGACTACAGGCTTGCACCACCACGCCTGGCTAACTTTTTGTATTTAGTAGAGACAGGGTTTCACCATGTTGGTCATGCTGGTTTTGAATTCCTGACCTCAGGTGATCCACCTGCCTTGTCCTCCCAAAGTGCTAGGATTACAGCTGTGCGCCACTGCACCCGGCCTCTCAGGGGAAGTCTTTCATGAACCCTGGAATGGAATGAATAGTGTCCCTCTCATTTGTGGAATTATGTAACAGCTCTCAGCCTCCTGCTGTCAGCGATGAAATCTCCATGCTGTCTATTAATATAAAAGTCACCACAGTTCCTGCTTTTTCTTACAACATCTGTAAACTTAAAGATAAGGAAATGAGTCATCCCTGTAACTAAGTTTTGTAAGGAAAACACTTTGATATGTCCCCATTTCTTGTATGTCCAGTTGTTTAAGGGGTCCTTTCACAGGTCACGTGCCCACAGGAAATCAGGAAGTTAGGCCCGCAAGCTTCAGTGCCCTCTGCCCCTTTTTGTTCTCCATCTCCTATGTGTTTTATTTCGTTCAGGGTCTTTGTTGCCCAGAGGGCCAGCTCTGGGCATTGGCCATAAACAAGTGCTTGTGTTCTTTTATCCTGCTGGTGAAGAGAGATGTAGGGAGGAGGTGGGGTGGGGTGGGGATGATGTGGCATCAAACAGGAGGTATAGTGGTCAGTGTTCTGAGGGGAGAAGACGCCTGCTTCCTAAGGGTTCCTTCACTCCCCCATCCTGGAACAATTCTTGGTCCTCTGTAAGACCAGAAGAGTTTGTTGTCACTGAGCTCAGATAAGCTGTGGAACTAACTTGCTGCTGATGCTGCTCTGACTACCCCTGCAAGCCCCAGCTCAAGACAATGTGAACAGAACTCTGCTCTGGCTGCCTTGGGAAACCAAGAAACGGGGCATGTAATTCATACATGTGCTTCAGCCCATGGTCATTTACAAGACAAAGCCTCTCCTTAGTTCTTTATTGCCCATTCATTTTGAGTTCTTTTCCCCTTCAGGAGTTCCAAGGATGTTCGCTTTAGCTTGAATTATTCTGCCTAAAATATTTGTAACAAGTAGATGAGCCACCTAGGTGGCTCAGATGTCCCACTCTCTCAAGGATAGTGCTGAACACAAGAACATGGTTCAGACAGGTACATGTCCCCGTAAGGGATCTCAGGACAGGCATGTCTGTTTCTCCATTTATGAGGACCAGGAGTGACACAGAACTGAAGTGGTTGTCGTGTGATCAAAATACAGGATGCCGTAGGTCACGCCCGACAGAAGGGTCAGCCACTGAGGGTGCCTCTGCCTGCTGGTTCCTGCTCAAGATTGTTGTGGTTGCTTTCGAAGGAGAGAGTGCTTGTTTCACACCCTGAAATCCTAGTCATTGCTTCCGCATCTTTGCTGCCTTCTGTTTCCTTTGACAACTGTCAGAGGGGAAGCTGTTGAAAGATACTGGTGACATCTGCCCCATGCAGGTCATGAGTGAGGCTGCTGGGTGGAGGTGAGGCATGTGGGATGCTGCACTGAGCTCTCTAGAGCATAGGAGAGCAGGCCAGCAGTCCCAAGGAGCGGTGCCTGTGCCTCCTCCAGTGCAGCCACAGAGGAAGAGGTGAGAATTGGAGGTAACTCAGTTTAGGACACGTGTATTGGTCTTCATTATCGAGACTGCAGTAGAGCCTGTTCCTCAGCTTTCTGCCACTACTTCCCAGAGTCTGGCCCACAGAACCGTCCCACGACCAACAGAAGAGAAGGTCTCCCTTCTCTTCCTTCCCCACAACCCCTCCTGACCCAGCCAGTGGCTCAGCCCAGATTTGCTTCCTGCCTCTATGTCTGCTCCTTGTGATTGGCCCTCACTGATTACCTTTACAGAAGGTAAAGAGGATTGAATGCTTACCAGGACTGCCACAGTCCTGAGAAAGCAGAGAAGTCCTACATTACCCTGTAGGATTCCCTGAGCGCCCACTAAACATACAGGGCTTGCTTTGGAACTGAAAAAATTGCAACAAAGCAAGACAACTGCAGTTACCCATTTCTGCTCTCAGCTGTAGTTTCTCTCTTCATTCATTTCTTTGTAAAGTTCTTAAAGGTCCATAAGTTTCTTTTGGGAGCATGCTTATTTCGTTGTACCTCTACAGCAGTGGTTGTCAACTAGTGGTGATTATGCCCCTCAGAGGACAGTAGGCAGTGTCTAGAGGCATTTTTGATTGTCAGGACATTAATGGTTGGAGAGAGGTTGTTACTGGCACCTAGTGGACAAAGGCCAGGGATGTTACTAAACATCCTACAATGCACAGGACAGG